AGACGGGTAGAAACGCAAAAAAAAAAAAAAAAAACGAGTAGAGACTGAAGAAAAGTCCCTTGAGGGAGCGGAAAATAGGGACTCATCAACCGGAAGCAAACTAGGCAGATCATCGGTAAGAAGCTTGCTAAAGAAATCAACGCCCGAATCCTTGATCTCCTGAGCTGATGTGAGAACCAAATCACCATGAGAGATAGAGTGGATTCGATTGACACATCGCTTTTTCTTGACTAACGAGTGGAAAAACTTAGAGTTTCTCTCTCCATCAGTCGCCCATCTACAAGCTGCCTTCTGCTTCCAAAAGTCCTCCTCAATATTGAGCATGAGAGTAAGTTCAGCAGTGGCCTTTTTCAAATTTGCACGATTCTCGGGGGATCGATCCAAGTCATATATGTGCTCGGCCTCTAGAACAGCTGCCTCGGCCCTCTCTTTATTCTTGAACACGTCCCCGAAAACATTCCAATTCCACCACTGAAGCTTCTGTTTCAATCGTCTCAACTTCGTATGTAATCGATGCATCCCCGTCTGAGCACACGGAAAATCCCAAACCTGTTCCACAATCTGACGAAACGTAGCGTGGCGGATCCACATATGCTGAAACCGGAATGAAGCAGGAGGCCTAGACGAAGAAGCAGCCGATGAAACCAAAAGAGGAGCATGATCCGACCAGGTCCGTGAGAGGTGGGTAACCTGCGTAATAGGCAATAAATCTAGCCAAGCAGAGTTATATAGAATCCTGTCCAAACGCTCCAAAAGACCTGAAGGGCTCTCCCAAGTATAGCAAGAACTAGCCCCAGAGAACCCGGCATCCGAAAGTTCACAATCCGAAACCATAGCACCAAACTCAGCCATATCTAGTCTTCTATCCGAAACCGATCTATTCCGTTCTGACTCAAGTAAGATTGAGTTGAAGTCACCCCCAGAAATCCAAGGAGTGTCACCAATCGTCTCAAAAATGTCGCGGAACGAATTCCACAAAACACGGCGCTCGGAACGAGAGCATCTAGCATAGACCGCAGTAAATACAAAAGGAGCACCAAATAAACCAGATATGCATCTGACATGCAATAATTGTACCTCATCCCTAAGCAACTCGACTCGAAAATTGTGATCCCAAAAAATCCAGATCTTCCCCGCACAATTAGACAAACCAGCAACGAAACCCAAGCGACGGCAATAGTAATCATGCACAAACTCAGTCATAGGTTCAGAAATAACCAATAAATTAACTCTATGTTGGCGACAAATAAAGCGCAAGTGGGATTGGGTCGCCTTATTTTTTACCCCCCTTGCATTCCAAACCAAGAATTTACCCGACATCAAGAAGAGGGGGAATGCGACCCATCTGAAGATTTCCGAGATGTGACAAAGAATGAGTTACCAATAAGGTGGGCCTCCTCCGCATGCCAGCGTTCGGCATTCTGCAAACGCTCAGCATCAATTAGGCTCGATCGCCACGAGGCCGAAGGTTCATCAGTGATAGAGCCCGGAGTAGCGTGATCAGCTGGGCGTATGCTCGTGGCTGGGCTCACGGGCTCATAAGGGATCATGGCAAGGTGATTGAAAGGAGGCGTGCCGGCCAAATTTTGATCGGCCGTGGGCCGGACCTTGGTCACATAGTGTTCGCAAAATAAGGCAGCCGACGTAGGTGTAATCGGATCCGTACCCGCCGAAAGTCCTGACCCCTCTCGTCCGTGTACCCCATGATTAAGGGGAACATCCTTGGCCACCGAAGTGGCTGAAGGTGATAGAGAGGGGGTTGAGAGGGCTGCCCCCTTTGCGGTTCGGGAGCTAGAAGCTTGATTTCTGTTCTTTTTGGAGGGAGACACATGCTGATTTTTTTTGGACATGGATAAGGCCTCCATATCATCTAAATCAGCTTCTTGATCATCGGCAATAGTATCTATGGGGTCTGGACTCATCGGTTGTTTGATGTTAGAAGTATTTTTTCGGCCCTTTTTCGAAGATTTTGGAACATGTTTGGAAGCAACATCCGGTTGAATATGAGCAGCCTCTATATCCTCTTGAACTCCACTCTCCAACAATTCAAAGGGGTTGTAATGCTCAAAATCTCCTTCACTAATATTATCGGCAGTAGGCCGCACAATAGCTTGAGAAAAACTAGGATTTTCAGTTGATTTTGTCCCCGATGTTTTAGGAATATCCATGTTTTCAACAACAACATTTTTCCTCTTTTCAACTCGTCGCCAAACTTGTTTTTCCTTTGGTGGGGCTGTGGGTTTGGGAATCCGTTGTGGCGGTGGTGGAAAATCCGGTTTTTTAGCATTTCCATTCATATAACAATTTTCAACCGAGTGACCCAGGTGAGAACAAAACGTGCAGAATTTTGGGACGTTCTCGTAGTTTACCGGCAAGGAAATCATCTCAATATCATCATAGCCAGTCATCACCGGAATTTGTTCAACCCTCGGTTTCAAGAGATCAATTTCGACGCAAAATCGAGCAACAGATAGCTTCTTTCGATCGGCTGTAAAATCATCAAACTCAAGTGGATTTCCAATAGAAGAAGCAAGGAAGAATATAGCTTCCCGGTTGTACATATAAGGAGGAACTCCCGGCACATTAACCCAGACCGGCGCTATAGAAGTTTCGTTTTTCAAATTAAAGCCCGGAGTATATTTAAAAACACGCATGGGCAGCCCATCAATATAGCATATCGATCTTCTCAAAAGCAAAGAATAATCATCTAATACCGAGAATTGAATCAACACATGCCGATAATTCAATTTATGCAACTCAAAGGAACCGCGGGGCTTTAAATCGTAAATAAACTTCTCCATAACTTTGTAGTGAGGTATCCCATGAGAAAACTTACCAATCAAGGTGTACTTTAACGGCTCAAGCATCTTATCAACCTCCTCTTTCGAGAAATAGAGCACATTCTTGCCATCTATCACTTTAATTGTCCCAATTGGAGCGATATCTTCTCGGTGGAGCAAGTGACGACGACGATCAACCTTAGAAGAAGCAATTGGAGGTCCGAGATCACCGTGTACAGCAGCAGCAAAGGATTTGGTTGGGAATTGGAATTTTGGGGTTTGAATTTCGGGATTAGGGGTTTCAATTTCGGGATTGGGGTTTTTTAATTGGGGATTTTGGGTTTGGAATTGGGAATTCGGATTATGATTGTCCAATTTAGAAATAGGGATAGAAATATCATTTTTAGTGTTTGAATTGGACATAAAACCAGCTTGGGCCACAAGATTGGGGTTTAGGTGGTCCGTTTTAGGGTTTTGGGCTCGAATTTGAGTAATATTATCGTGAGCCGGTTTTAGAGTGGAAGATAGGCCTTTCTTAGGAGAGTTAGGGGCTGAGATGGGCTTAGGGACCGGTAGTTTGAGGCTAGAAAAATCCTCATAGGATGGTGATTTGGCAAGTGGTGTAAACTTGGCGAATTGTGGTTGGCTGAGGTGAGGAGTTCTAGCCAAGTCAAGGGGTGAGGTGGAACGGGCGGGAAAAGTGGTTGGTGAAATTTGAATTGTGGCGACCTTGCCTTGTGTAGAAGATTCAGCTTCCACAATCAAGGAAGATTGATTGGTGAAATCTTCCATAATTACCACGTCCGAAAAGGAAGGTCCTGATTAGAATATCTA